TTTTTTTGCAGTACCAAGATTTGAACTACACCTTGAGTCACTCCACCAGCCTTTTTTTTGTGTTGGGTTTTTTCAATAGGGTCTCATGAACTATTTTGCCAGGACTGGCTTCGAACCACAATCCTCCTGATCTCTGCTTCCTGAGTAGCTAGGATTATAGGTGTGAGCCATTGGCACCTGCTTTTGTTTTGTTTTTTTTGGTTTTTTGTTTTTTTCTTTTTTGTGGTACCAGGGATTGAACTCAGGACCTCATGAATACGAGGCAAACACTAAACCACTGAGCTATATCTCCAGCCCCTTTTGTTTTGTTTTTAGTTTGTTTTGTTTTGTTTGAGATAAGAGTTTGACTATGTAGCCCTGGCTGCCCTTGGACTCTTGGTCTTCCTGCCCTAGCCTCCCAAGAGCTAGGATTACAGACATGTGCCACCATTCATGGCTGTTAATTTAAAATAAAAATTTAAGCCAAGTACAATGTTCATGCCTATAGTCCCAGCATCCAGGAGACTGGGGCAGGAGACTCCCTTAAGCCCATGAGTTCAAGACCAGCCCCAATAACCTAGTGAGCTGTCTCACAAAAAAACTTATAGCAGATTTTGAACTCAATTCATTCAAGCAGTTTTACAACAATGATGAAAAGGTGCAAACCAGTGGCAATGCCAAGACAAGAATGGTATGAGTTGGAGAGTGAGCTTGAGCATCCATAAGCACCAGAAAACCTACTTCAGCTTCACCAGAAAACTTACTTCAGCTTCAAGATAAGTCCCTTGCACAGAAATTCTGTAATTTTAATAATTTAGACAGTTCCAATAGCACTACAGGCCTCAGGTCTATTCTCCAGTATTATAAAATCTTTTCAATGAACACCTTGTCTCAGATTTTGCTTTGACCTCTTTTTATTCCTGGATTTCAGAACCATGTGTGCTCAGTACTGCATCTCCTTTGCCGATGTTGAAAAAGCTCATATCAACATTCGAGATTATATCCACCTCACACCAGTGCTAACAAGCTCCATTTTGAATCAAGTAGCAGGGCGCAATCTTTTCTTCAAGTGTGAACTCTTTCAGAAAACTGGATCTTTTAAGGTAAAAATTCCCCTTCTTAATGTATCATGTATGTTTTCCAACCCCTTTAACATGTAAATTTAATCCTCCAGAACAGGAACAGCCAGTGAGGTAGCTTGCAGTAAATTAACACCTTTTTGCAGTTGGGAAAAAAAAAAAGTTTGAAGAAATTTCCTTTTCAAGTACTGGTCACTGGGCTGGTGGGGTGGCTCAAGTTGCACCTGCCTAGCAAGCATGAGGCCCTGAGTTCAAATGCCAGTGCCAGGAAAAAAACCTCACACTCAAATCCTGGTTACCTAGCATCATAGTATTGATAAACCACTTTTACATACTCTAAAAATTCCTTATAATTAAAGTTACATATTTATACATAAATATGTATTATTGCCGGGTGCCCGTGGCTCATGCCTATAATCCTAACTACTCAGGAGACAGAGATCAGGAGGACTGTAGTTCAAGGCCAGCCTGAACAAATAGTTTGCAAGACCCTATCTTGAAAATACCCAATACAAAAGAAAGGGTTGCTGGAGTGGCTCAAGGTGTAGGCTTTGATTTCAAACCCCAATACTGAAAGAACAAAAAAATAAAAGGCAGAGATTAGTTCAAAGCCATCCCCAGGGATATAGTTCAAGAGACTGTATCTCGAAAAAAACAATCAGAAAAAAAGGGCTGGCAGTGGCTCAAACTGTAAGAGCGCCTGCCTAGCAAGCATGAGTCCCTGAGTTCAAATGCAGTGCTGCACCTCCCCATCCCTTTCCCAAAAAAAAAAAAAAAAGCTTTCTGGTGACACAGGACAGGTCTGTAATTCTAGCACTTGAGAGGCTGAGGCAGGACAATCATAAGTTCAAGGTCAGCTTGAATGTACATAGCAAGATTCTGTCTCAAAACCAAACATAAAAGGAAGCTTTCAACTCAGAAGGCAGAGACCAGGAAGATCACGGTATCTCAAGACCCTATCTCGAAAATACTGAACACAAAAGAGGGCTGGTGTAGTAGTTCAAGTGTTGGAGCACCTGCCTGGCGCCAAAAAAATTTTATTTTATTTTTTTTGGCAGCATTGGGGTTTGAACTCAGGGCCTTATATTTGCAAGGCAGGTCCTCTTACCCCTTAAACCACTCCACCAGCCTCCCCAAATTTTTTTTTTAAATTAAACATTTGTAAATAGTTACACTAAGCTATGGTTTATTTATTATTGAAGAAAAATATTCTAATTTAATGTAGCTTAATTATGGCATTTATAAAGTTTACAGTCATGTACAATGTCCTTGACCTTTACATTTACTCACTATTCACTCACCCAGAGCAAACCAGTTCTATAAGCTACACTCATGTTAAGTGTACACTTAACAGTGTACACCTGTAGGTGTGTCATTTTTTAGCTTTATACCTTATTTTTATTAGCCTTTTCCTGTGTTTATATACACAAATACCACTGTGTTGTAATTGCTAACACTATTGTTTAGTACAGTAGCATGCTGTATAGGTTTGTAGCCTAAGTATAACAGGTTATACCTAAGTAGCCTAGGTGTATAGTATGCTGAGTTTGTGTAAGTACACTCTATAGTGTTTGCAGAACAAAATCACCTCATGATACATTTCTTAGATCATGTCGCCACGGTTCAGCGATGCACAACTGTACAATGAGTTTACCACCCTTCTTTTCCAGATTCGTGGTGCCCTTAATGCTATCAGAGTCTTAACACCTGCCACTTTAAAAGGGAAACCCAAAGCTGTTGTTACTCACAGCAGTGGAAATCATGGCCAGGCTCTCACCTATGCTGCCAAACTAGAAGGTACTGAATTAATTTCTCACGGTACTGGGGAGGATCAACTGAGAGAAGCAGAAAAGTATCAGTGAGAGTAGAATTACCTGTGGGAATTTCTAAAGAAGTCCTTAGTTGATTACAAGAAAAATGAAATGTAAGTTTTTACCCTGAGTTCTCCTGACTTGTACTAACTAAACATATTTTTTCCCCTACCAGGGATTCCTGCTTATATTGTGGTGCCCCAAACAGCTCCCAACTGTAAGAAATTGGCAATACAAGCCTATGGAGCCTCTATAGTATATAGTGAACAGAGTGATGAGGTAAGGAGAAAGCAGGGTTCAGTACCACCTTAACAGGCTCATTTGACCAACTGTTCTTCCTACCTTACTGGATGCTCTTAGTCTCCTTTGTTTCCTCATCATCCCTCAAGTGTTAGCATGCCCAATCTTTTCTCTATCTACTCATTCAGCTGATAACATTAGTTTTAGTTTAAAACATCACCTATTCTCAACAAGTCCAGCCCTAAACTCTCCCCTTAATTTCAGACTTCTATACCCAACAGCTACCAAACTTTCCTAGTTGGATGTCTTTTAATCTAAATTTTTTGGCAGTATTGGGGTTTGAATTCAAAACCTCCTGCTTGCTAGGCCAGTACTCCATTGGTGTGTCTCTTTTTTTTTTTTGGCAGCACTGGGGTTTGAACTGAGGACCTCACGCATGCAAAGTAGGCAACTCTTAATGCTTGAGCCACTTTACAGCCTTTTTCTGTGCTGAGTATTTTCAAGATAGGGTCTCACAAACTATTTTTCCCAGGCTGGCTTCAAACCACAGTCCTCCTGGTATCTCTGCCTCCCAAGTAGTTAGGATAATAGGTATGAGCCACTGGCACCCAGCTTCTACTTGGATGTTTCTAGTGGCGTTTCAAAGTTACTATGTCTAAAATCAAACTCTGGATCTTACTCCCCAATTTCTCCCTTTCTAGTCTTTCTCATCTCAGTAAATGGCAACACTTATCCTTCTAGTTGCTCAAGCAAAAAAAATTTTGCTAGCCCTTTCACACCCCACATCCAAATCTATCCTTTCAAAATATTTCCATAATCCAACTACCATTACCACCCTGACTGAAACCAACACTAAGTATCACCTAGACTCAGCAGCCTAACTGGTCTCTGCTTGCATCCTCACTCACTACAGTCTGTTTTCAAAAGCAATCAATAAGTTATAATTTGTCTTGGACTGGAGGTGTGGCTCAAGCAGTAGAGCACCTGTTTTGCAAGTGTGAAGCCCTGAGTTCAAACTCCAGTCCCACCAAAAACAACTTGTCTCTTCTCAATCTCATACATAGTGAAACCAAAGTTTTTTGTTTTATTTTTGGCCCTAGCATTTGAAAAGCTCTACTTCTTGAGCCACACCTCCAGTCCATTTGCTGTGACTATTTTGGAGGTGGGATCTTGATAACTATTTTCCTGGTCTGGCCTTGAACCATGATCACCCCAATCTCAGCCTCCAAATGGCTAGGATTACAGGTGTGAACCACCAGCACCTGTCAATTTTTGTTTTGTTTTTATGGTACTGGGATGGAGCCGAGGGTCTTGTGCATGCCAAGCAGTCTATCACTGAGCTATATCCCTAGGCAACCAAAGTACTTCTATTCATCCAAGACATGGATGAACTAGTTCATGCGTCTTTATTTTTTGTTTTCTGCTTGCTATTTTATTTACTCATTTTTGGTGGGACTGGGGTTTGAACTCAGAACTTTGCACTTGCAAAGGAGGCACTCTACTACTTGAACCACACTTTCCCATTACTATCTTTTTGACCTCATCTCATCTGTTATTCTGCTGGAAACATTTCATGCCAGTCACACCAACTTCTTAGCAGTTCCTCAGAAAGAACAACCACTCTTGCCTTATAGTCTTTCTACCTACGACCACCTTCTTTCAATATTCTTCCAGAATCAATAGTATTTGTTCATATCTGTAATTTGTCACATTATCAGAGGCTCTTCCTGATCAGTCCATATAGGACAAATTCTTCCACTTTGCTCCAAAATACTTAAACATGGTATCAGAAATTTACTTATATCCCACCCCTAAGAATATAACCCTCTTAAAGGCAGGATGTTTTGTCTACTGCCACATCTATCCTCACTGACCAAATCTGAAAAACAGTTAAATTGTCAATAAAGGTGTTAATTATTAAGTCAAATTTTTTGAGAATTGTGTTAAATGAAGTAAACCAAATTAATGTTATTTCAGTCCAGAGAAAAGGTTACAAAAAGAATTATGGAAGAAACAGAAGGCATCATGGTACATCCCAACCAGGAGCCGGCAGTGATAGCTGGGCAAGGGACAATTGCACTGGAAGTGTTGAATCAGGTAAAACAGCCTAATTAGTTCTTCTTATTTAGCTACTGCGAAAGCTGTTTGGCTGTAGATTCAATTTTATATGTACATATAAAACTGCTCATTAATTAGTCTATTTATATTTTTACCAAAGGTTCCCTTGGTAGATGCACTGGTGGTGCCTGTAGGGGGAGGAGGAATGGCTGCTGGAATAGCAATTACAGTTAAGGTGAGAAAACAGCTTCTGAAGGACTTCCTGTTTTAGGCACATTTATTTGCTTTTTAGTGCACTGAAGGTATGTGTTCAACATTCCCTGCAACTGCCATTCCTTCCCATCATCTCTTGAAACTCTAGAAGGAAGGCCCATCTTTGTCTTGACAACTTTATAGCGCAAAAGCAGTTACATAGTAAGCAGCATTCTCAGTCCTTCCCCTAAATCCACCTCATCAACCTACCAGGGACTACTATTCCCAAACTACCAATGATTCAGGCAACCAAAGGCCAGTATTAGACATATAATTTATTTATAAAGTGCCTATAGGTCTTATTTCCATTATATCCATCAAAGGGAAGACTCTTACATAGAAATGTGTTAGCTGTTCTGCCTACTTTATTTTAGTCAATGGTATAGTTGGTTGTAAGGTATCTAATACTCCCTTTCAGGCTCTGAAACCTAGTGTGAAGGTATATGCTGCTGAACCCTTGAATGCAGATGACTGCTACCAGTCCAAACTGAAAGGGGAACTGATCCCCAATCTCCATCCTCCAGAAACCATAGCAGATGGTGTCAAATCCAGCATTGGCTTAAACACGTGGCCTATTATAAGGGATCTTGTGGATGATGTATTCACTGTCACAGAGGATGAAATTAAGGTAAGGCTCCAACAAGAAATAACAATAGTGCAATTTCTTAGGCAAAAGAATTTTCTCCTATTAGGAGTAGCAACTGACTCACAGGGACTTAAACTAAGTGACTTCATGACTGTGGGAGGGTACCAAACTACTAAACAGTAGCAGAGTTAGGATGAAAGTGTATATAGCAACAAAATTCAGACTGGGCATATATCCTCACCTGGCCTTTAGAACTTAACTACTAGGATTCCTAGATTCTTTTCCCGTTTCACTAATCCTTACTCCCTTCTATACCAACAGTATGCAACCCAGTTGGTGTGGGAGAGAATGAAACTACTCATTGAACCTACCGCTGGTGTTGGAGTAGCAGCCGTGCTGTCTCAGAATTTCCAAACAGTTTCTCCAGAAGTAAAGAACATTTGTATTGTGCTCAGTGGTGGAAATGTAGACTTAACCTCGCTAACTTGGGTCAAACAGGCTGAAAGGCCAGCTCCTTATCGGTCTGATTTTGTTTAATTTATGCAAAAGGAAGAGGTATGATTTCAGTGTCCAGGTAGTAAAAATTTTGTTTTCCATCTTCCCCTCTTAAACAAGTTTTCAAATCTTAATGGAGAATAGATACTTCAGTAAGATGTAATCATTTTTTAGACTAAGCAGCAGAAAAATTGTCAGTTAAGACACTTGTTAAGAAGACCTTTGTAAACAGAGGCAACAGACTAATTAGCTAAAGTAGAAACTGCAAACTGCCTGATCACAACCTGTAGGCTCCCATCATTGGAGTGGTAACTGGCAAGCAGTATGACAGAATCCCAATGACTCCATTACTCCATGTCCACTTCAGGCGCTGTTGAAGAAATGTCACTTTTCACCCAAGGTACTGGTTCTGAAACATACGGATCATAAGTCCATTTGGGGAAAACTCGTTTATAGAGGTTCATCAGTACTGTGTCCTGAGATTTTAATTTCCCATCAAAGCTGCACTTCATGTGGCCATGGGTACCTAGAAAGAAAACATCAAGTTGGTAAAATTAAAAGTATAAAATTTTAAAGCAATGAATTTCAACCCAATAGTCAATCAGTAACATTGGGGAAATTTAAATAAGGCCCCAAATCCTACATTCTCTTACCCAAAGGCTCCTTGATGTGTCCCCTGCGGCCCCATTTTGTTCTCAGTTCCACTGGTTTAAACCACAGCACGTCCTCTTAAAATGGAGAACACAAAAGACCAAGATGAAACATTTACCCATAAAATGTAAACCCAACCTTTCCAACACACACACACACGCACAAAATCAAATTTCATCCTTCTCCTTCTTCATGCCTACCTCTGTTAAAGAACATGTAACGCACTACTGCCATCTTAGTAAAAATTTTGAAAGGATGACCACTCAAAACAACTCTCTTGATGACTATTCTGTCCGGGTCAACTGACAACAGATGGCCTGTAGCAATAAGACTGTGCATTCCTATGAAGGGAAGAAAGCAGCTATTGAGGAGTCTGTAAGACAATGCCTTCACTTATTGCTCTAATACAGTTAAAGACCTGTGCAAGATTTTCTGAGAAAAACCTTGAAGTAGCAATACACTGTTACCCTCCCAAGATCTGACCCTCAAATCTAAATAAGAGAAAACAGTTATAATCCTATTAAGGACCTGCAGGCCTATTTACCACCGTGAACTCAACTTACCATTGCTTTTCTGCTTGAAAAGCAGCACAGATGCAGGAGGAAAAGTGATTGGTGCATACACTGTCACCACTAAGGCCGCATCAGCAGTCAGGAATCTCTGAAATTTATGTTTATCCGCTGCCACAGTAAAAGATGAAAAAAGAAAAACCAAAAACACTGAGAAATCCATAGGTAATCCAGAGGCCTGTGAAAGTTGTATCACAGCCAACTCATTTTTTTGTTTTTTTTTTGCAGTGCTGAGAATCAAACCCAGGGCCTTATGCATGCTAAGTGTTCTCTACTACTGAGTTATATACCCAGCTGTAACTCCCCTCCACGCTTTTTTTTAATCCCCCTTTGTTTTTTGGGTTTTTTGCAGTATTGGGGCTTGAACACAGGGCCTCACACTTCCTTGGATAGGCACTCTACCACTTGAGCCTCCCCTCAATCCTCAACTGCAATATTTTTGTTGTTGATTCTGGGGCTTATACTCAGGCCTCACACATGCTAGGGAAGGCATTCTACCACTTGAACCACTTCACCGGCCCTTTGTTGGGTTGGATATTTTTGCCTTTTTTTTTTTTTTTCCCCCAGGCTGACCTCGAACCACAATCTCCTGATCCTCTACCTCATGACAAGCTAGAATTATAGATGTGAACTACTAGTGGCCAGTCCAACTGTAACTCTTAAACCAAAAACATCTTGTGTTTCCTTATTCCACTAATTCTCAGAATTTTTCTTGCCTCACCTGGCATGGTAGCACATGCCTATAATCCCAGTACTCTGGTGACAGAGACAGAAAATCATGATTTTTGCAGCCAGCCTGGGCTTCATAGTGAGACCTTGTCTCAAAACAAAAGTAAATAAAAAAATCCTACCTCAACACAATTAAAAGATATAAACCAGTCCTATCAGTTATTTTTCAACAGGCGATAGAATCTTGGAGCTTAAACTGTATTTGGGGTTCAAAAAGTTATCCCAGGTGATTTTTTTGTTTGTTTTTTTGTTGGTACTAGGGTTTGAACTTAGGGCATCACACTTGTGGGCAGGCACTCTACTACTTGAGCCACACCGCCATTTCTTTTTTGTGTTGGTATTTTTGAGACAGGGTCTTGTGAACTTCCTGCCTAGAACTGTTTGTCTCCACTGGCCTCAAATCTTGTTTATTTAGTTTTTGGTGGGACTGGGGTTTGAACTCAGGCTTTGTGCTTCCAAAGCAGGTGCTCTGCCACTTGAGCCACACCTCCAGCCCTCAAATCTTGATGTCTGCCTCCCAAGTAGCTAGAATTACAGGTGTGAATCACCAGTGCCCAGCTAAAATTGTGGGTTTTTTTAATTTTTAATTTTACTTTTTGGCATTATTGCGGTTTGCACTCAGGGCCTCACACTTGCTAAGCAGGTGCTCTACCACTTGAGTTTCTCTACTAGTTCTCATCCCTTACCTCATTTGACAATCAGTGCTTTACGGACACTATCCCTGAGTCAACAGCTCATTAATAAAAATTGGCAAACTTTTTCTACAAAGGCCTAGATGGTAAATACGTCAGGATTTGTGGTCATACAGTTTCTGTTCCAACTAGTCAACTCTGTGTTTGTCACTACTTGTGACAAAAAGCAATCAGAGACAAATACATTTGGAGACTTTTTTAAAGGAAAGAAATTAAAAACAAAAAGGACTGCAAGTTCAAGGCCAACCTGGGCTACATAGTGAGACCTTGTCTCAATAAAAACAAAAATTAAAATTAAAATGTAGTATTTGTATTCCAATAAGACTTTGTTTATAAAAATAAGCAGTGACACAGATTTGGCCCAAAGACTACAGTTCCATGACCTCAGACTTTAATAATACTGAAGTTAGAGGAAAATAAGATATCTGAATGAAGAAATTAATCCATTAGAGAGATTAATCATGCTATTTAGGTAGCATAATTGGTGAGGATAAAAATTATCCAGATAACCACTAATGCTGCCTTCATCTCTTCTTTCTGCCATTGAGTAAGCTAAGGTGATGTTTAAAAGCCCCAAGTTATTTAACAACAAATCTTCCTAGTCCTAGAATGTAGGAATACAACCACTTTTTACCACAGAAGTATTCATGGTTACCATTCTCCAAACTCATATACACCATCTCAAAACCCACATCCTTTCACCCCACTGCCACTCGCACACCAGATACCAAGGTTTCCATACTTTGACACATGCTTTTTTATAAAGCTTTTTTTAAGCTACCAACCCTGATTCAAAACTTACTTTGAAACAAATACTCATGACAGAGAAGCCTCAGTTCCACAGAGATTGCATCACTAGGATGCTTCAGACAGGTTCAGACATTTTGAATAAAAACATCATTGGCTACTAAGTCAGAGTACTGAAAATACCTCTAACCCAGGTATCTAAGAGTGTGAAACTATGTATTCTGCCTCCCTCCACCAAAAATTAGTCTCCCAAAAGAGAATAAGATGGACAAGAATCCAAAAGCTCCCCCCTGCTAACCTGCAGTGTGCTGAGAGAATAAAGGTGAGGCTCGGAAGCGCCTGAATCCACAGTGGAAGATCAGTTCCTCTTTGGCTTTCACAGGTTCAGTGTTGCCAGGATTCCGACTCACCACCATGTTCAATACTGACATCTGAGAACCAAGTAAGAAAAAAAGCTATACAGTCTAAGAATACAACAGTCTAACCTGAAAGAAGGCAAACCAAAGAAACATCAGATTCACTATAAGAACTGACAGTACTAATTAATGTACAAATTAATGTAGTATAAATGACAGAACACAGATTTATCCTTTTTATCCATCAATAATTGGCATTAGAGCTGAACATAGGCTAATTAGAGCTTTCATTCGTCTCTGCTAATTTACCTTCCTACATTTAACATGAGCTCAACCTCCACCACAAAAATCAGTGACTTGTAAGTCACTCACCATATGCACCACTCATTCAAATCTCTTCCTTGACCCTTACTCATACTAATCGAAGGCCAGAGCTATTACATACTCACACTCCAATCTGCATGACTGTCTACATAGAGACCTAAGCTTTGGCCTAAACTCTATCTGAAAACATATTTATCATAGAGAAGTCTCAGAACCACACAGATTTCATCAGTGAGATGCTTCAGACAGGTTCAGACATCATGGGTATAACCATCATTGACTTCTCTATTGTTCTTTGATTTCTAAATCATAAAAGCAGAATCTCATAGCCCAGGGAGCAAATTTCATGAATGGATTGGAAAAGTTTTTTATAACTCTCCATTTTCCACAAGATACTAATTTACCTTCTGTTCATGAGGTAGCAAAGAAAATGCAATCAAGGGTGCTCCTCGCTTGAAGTACTCAACCACTGAGACAGGGACTTCAGAGACATGAAGTGTGACATACCATCCAACCTTCCAAGAGGAAGCAGAAAACAATCACAGGATTACCCTTAATGTCCTGATAACAATAGAACATTTCTCCAACTGTTCTCTCGAGTACCCTAAAACGCTTCAAGATTGCTTTTCACAGATGCTTCAACTACCCAGATTCAGTGTTTTCAGTTATTATCTTTGAAACTTCTTTGTTCCAACTCAGTGGCCCCTCTGATTCAGCTGACAGCAGCACAAAACTAAGTTGGGTACTCATTCTCATACCAAGAGAAGCAACAAAATAGGCAGTATGGTGGACAAGAAAGCAATACCTCAGCTCCTTCAGCTTCTTTTTCCTCAATCTCTTTAAAGATGCTTTTCCTAGTATTAGTGAAGTTCTGAAACTGAAAGATCCGAGCATAATCTCGAGGAAGGTTTTCCTTAGGATCCCAGGGAGATGTCCGGAAACTCTTGAGGCCTCTATATTTTTGAAAGCTAGAATATAGGAGATTTTAAAGAAATTAAGAGATTTATATGGTGCTACATAAGACTCACATCACTTCTAAATGCCTAAGGTTCTAGTTTAAAAGAGCTCTACCTAGGAATGTAGTTCAGTGGTAGAGTGCTAGCCTCACATGTCCAAGGCCCAGGGTTCAAGCCCTGGCACTGACGGAAAAAAAAAGAAACAAACAAAAAAAAAAACCCTCTTCAGCAGGGCTTGGGGGTGCACACCTGTAATTCTAGCACTCAGAAGGTTGAGGCAGGAGGATTGAAAGCGCGGACTTGGGACTTGGTGTCAAGTGGTAGAACACTTGTTTAGCAAACTCAAGGCTGAGTTCAATCCCCAGTAGCACCAAAAACCAACCAAACAAAAAAAAAAGGCACTAAAAAAGGAGGATTAAAAGCATGAACTACAGGCTTTCATTGCTCTATCTCAAAAAAAAAAAAAAGAGGGCTAGGCACAGTAGTACACACCTGTAATCCCAGCTACTTAGGAAGCAGAGATCAGAAGGACTGTGGTTCAAGGCCAGCCCAGGCAAAAAGTTAGTTAAGACTCCATCTCAGTAAGCCAGGTATTTTGTGGTTTGCACCTGTTATCTATCATAGCTACAAAAAAGGCACATGTAGGATTACCACCTAAGGTCAACCCCAGGGCAAAAACGCAAAATCCTATCCAAAAAATAACCAAGAAAAGGCTGGGGGAAGGAAGAGGGGCACAAGTGTCTCAAATGGTGGAGTGCCTGCCTAGCAAGGGCAAAGGTGGGGCAACGGTGGCTCATGCCTATAATTCTAGCTACTCAGGAGACAGAAATCAGGAGGACTACAGTGGGTAGAAGATGGGACAATACCACTAAAAAGGACTGGTAGAGTGGCTCAAGGTGTAGCCTCTGAGTTCAAGCCTCAGTACTGCCAAAAAAATAAAAGGCAAGGCCCTGAGTTCAAACCCCAGTATGCCAAGAAAAGAAGGGAAAGAAGAAGGAAGCAGGAGAGAGAGGAAAAGAGAATAATTACTATCTCTCAAAACTATCTAATAGTTTAAAAAACACACTCTAAAAACATCTTGAAACAAGTATTTCAGAACAAACTCAGGCTTTTCACTAAGGACAAAATATTTACAATGGCTCCCTGATGCATGTCAGGGAGTGGCTCTTTAATCTGGTAAACTCTGGCTTGGTCAGAGTCTCATCCAGAGAAGACAGGATCATCTTTCATGCTCTTTAACTTTTGCTGTCCTATCCAAATCCCCCTCACACCATAATCCCAACTTTATGCACTTAAACTAAGTATTAGCACCTATAGAAGTATCTGCTAATTAACCTTAGGATCTTCCTTTTAAGTCCTGTAACATTAATCTGTGCCACGGATTAGAACTTGATTATATATTAGTTTCCCACATGTGTGTTGCCTTCCCATATAGAATGTTAGCCCTTTAGGAGCAGGGGCAATGTGTCTCTTTTTGTACCATGCTGACCTAGTTCTGAGCCATAGAAGTTTCAAATAAAAACATATTGTTTGAATTTAGACTTCTTGACAAACCGAATTCTAGCAGCCACATCACGAGGAGTGTCCATTTCATCTGGAAACATCTCTTCTAGTCTTTCTTGTTTATATTTCTCCAACATTTTTTCCTCAGCTTCTTCATCTACTCTCTCATCATACAGATCATCACGCATAGACTCCCCTATAGTCATAGTTTCACATTCCTCCTCTTCTTCCTCTTCACCATTCTCATCCTGTAAAATAAAATATTGTGATAATTTCAGAAGAAACACAGACATCTCTACCTCTAAAACCAAGAATAATCTTACTAGACAATTAATTCCAAGCAATATAAATTCTAATAGATTAAGTCATGAAAGTCTTATTCCCTGGAATCAGTCATTCCTAAGAAACTGACTACACGCACCCCTCAAAGTCAGGATTGTACACTGCTTAGTATTTAGAGCTGTATACACAAGTGGCCCAGTGGCCTCTTTCCTTACCTGAGATTCCTCTTCCATAAAATCCTCATGTTCTAAATCATCATATTCACCTCCTTCCCCACCACTTTCATCACCTTCATCCAAAATCCATTCAGCTTGGTAACTGGATGTTCCTTTGGGAACCTTCTTTACCACCTTAGAACCTTGCTTCATAAAGTCTGTAAAAACCCAAATAAGTAAAGTTATATACCTCCTTTCCCCTGGGTATTCTCACCTATGCAGGATGATACTGCTGTCAACATGGTTACAACATGATAGACACATGAGTAGACCAGACTATTTCAAGTTTATTTTGGCTGCCTCACAATCAACAATACTACATCTAAATAAATCCTGCAAAGGATCTAATGTTGTTTTTCTGTTCATTATAAAACAGTAAGTAATTTTGAGAAATGTAACAAAGTTGTGTCCAATGTTTGTCTAGTGCAATCCTATAGCAATTGGGCAAATAGGGAGGTAACAGAACTTCAACTGTATTTTCAACTCACTCTATCCTATATATAGGGTCTCAGCAGCTACCCTGTAAGGAACTAATCAAAATCCACAATTCCAGATCAGATGTATAACAAACAAATTTGCCACTACCAACCATTTGCCTCATTCAGCTCTTCCTCAGTGGGCCAGGTTTGCTCCCCTTCCATTGGATCTGGGATAACCTCTGTTTGCAAAGACTGCTGTCTATCAGGGTCTGCCTTTACTAGGACCTTAAGGTCTTCTTCCATATCAGTTGTATCATCTGTGGCATAAGTCTGAAAAACAAAAGCAGGTATAACTAGTCAATAACACAGTAATCAGAAAGATTCAGAAGTATCAGTCCTCATGTAGATGAAAAGACAAAACATGTCAGAATTTCTCAAGTGGCCATTTCCTAGAATTTTGACTCTATACCTTTGTTTAGACTGAGGCCTTTCATAATCGTGTCCCTCATCTACCTGCTTAGTATATTCCTCATTCCCATCAAGCTGCTTTCTTCAGAATTCAAACAAACCTTCTTTTCCCATTACTATGCTTAGGTTCATATTGACTCTACATTTTTTCATCTCTAATCAGCTCATAAATCACACTCATCCTTGTCCACATTTCACTCAAGTCTGATCTTTTTTGTGTAGCTTGCTAGTCTACTTTCTCAACTTCCACAGCAGGTGTGTACTGTATCCATATCCCATCACAAGAGTTTGCCATTTTTTGTCTAACTCAAGTTAAGTTCTTTAAGAAAAGGGACCACATCTACGTATCTATACAGAACCAAAGTCAGAATCAAATGTAGTGTAGAATATCTAAAAAGAACTAGAAAAATATAACTTACCAACATATTTGTAGTTGACTATTGCCTCATTTTTCAAACCAGCAGTCTTTCTGCTGTCCTAAATGTATAGACTACCTTCTCTGAATTTTTTAACTTGTGTTTTTTGGTGGGACTAGGGTTTGAACTCAGGGCTTTGTGCTTACGGAGAAGGCACTCTAACACTGGAGCCATACCTCCAGCATTCTCCTGTTTCCATTCTGAGCCAATTTACATAGGAATCTATAATATACATTTCTTAAAAACATCCATCTTGGGCTAGGGTTGTAGCTCAGTGGTACAGTGCATGCCTAAGCATGCAGAAGATCCTGGTTTTGTTCCCCAGCATTGAAAAGGGGGGAGGGCAGAGGCCACAAAACACATCAATCTTACCTCCATTGTCATGCTTGAGTCCTTTTGGGATTTAATCACTCTAGTATTTAGAGGAAAAGGGTCCATAGGAGCATCTATCTGTTTCATTTGGAAATCACCATGTCCAACAATATGCAGCAAGCTATTTACATTCATAGTCTTCCCACGAACATAGCCTGAGATTTTCAAGGTTCCCACTAAGTCATTCTCTTTGCTAGGCACAAAATCAGCAGCATGGGCAAACAGGTAGGCCCTTCGATCTCGAAAAGAAAGATGCCTTTGCTTTTGGTTAGCCAACTGCCTAAGCAGCATCCCTGCCTCCTGTTGGGTGTCTAACAAGAGGAGTTTGTCATTAGGAAAGCGCTTCTCCACTGCTTTATTTAGCTTCTTCCTGACATCTATTTGCTTCTTTGGTGGAAGGCCAGAAACTCCCTGGACAGCTAGTGCTGTAAGAAAAAAAAAAAAAAAAAAAGCTTTTTAGCTTATTGCTTCAAATCCGCCTGCAGTTCACAAACAACGTAACAGTTCTATTGCAATCCCAGAAGTCACTGGGAAAGTCAACACTCAGTTACCCTAAAGAAATGTGTCAGCCTGTAATCCTAGCTACCCAGGAGGCAGAGATGAGGAGGATCTCAATTCGAAGCCAGCCCGGGGAAATAGTTCAAGAGACTCTATCTTGAAAAAAACACTTCAGGAAAAAAAACCCCTGAGTTCAAGCCCCAGGACCGCAAGAAAAAAACCAAACCAAAACAAAACAAAACAAAAAAACCCTCCACATTCTTTCTCCAGGCAAAGGACAGCCCAGAAAAAGGAGTCTTGACTGACAGTTTGTAAATAAATGATCAAATTTAATTTGTACATATATATTCTAAAACAACCCACCAGCTGTGTTTTTGAATCAAATATCAAGCATAGTGTCTGGGAAATTGTAGGTGTACAACAAATGCTAAATTCATTTTCTTTCCTGGCCACCAATACTCTTTCAATGCACTTACTGTAGGTGGGAAGACCCTGAGCAAAAAGGCAGGAAAGGCAGTAATCCCCAGTGCTGTCCCAGCCTTCTAGTGCATCAAGAAGGAACAGGATGGTATCAGCCACTTTAGCCATATCTAACACAGTGTGCAGATCCCCTGAAGATAAAAGACACAGTAAGAAGAAGTGCTTCCCAAGAACACATTATACTCAAAAACTACTACCCAGCACTCCAGAGACTGAGGCAGGAGGATCACAAGTTCAAGGCCAGCCTGAACTGAGACCCTGTCCCAAAAAAAACAGGGTTGTGGGTATAGCTCAGGGTGCTTGCCTAGCATCCAGGAAGCCCTGGGTTCGATCTTCAATAACAGCCAAAACAAAAAAGAAATAGAACCGCTATTTAAACATAAAGACGGGAAAACATTTTATACTCTAACCTGGCCTTGCATGTGTGAAGAACCACCGATGTTTCAAACGTGAGCATAGCAGCATAAAATTATCAGTGCTTCTGCATCCATTCAGGTGTACTGTTCCCAAGTTTCCATCCTGAAACAGTCCAAAGGCCTCAGGAATAGAAATCCTGTTATGCAGAGGCACCACAAGCACCTGATGAGGAGGCCCATCCTTGCTGCCCAGCTGTCTCTTCTCTGCCAGAACCTAAGAATAGAAATGGTCACAGAACACCCCTGTACTATGCTCCTGTACTGCATTTCCAACAGTACAAATATCGCCGCCAGTAACTAGCATCCTTCTTGTTAAAAGCTGTGGGGAGGAGAGTACGGGTGCGGGGGAGGTGAGAGGCGCCTGAAGGCAGGAGCTCAGACTAAATAACGCTCTAGGTCGAGTCTAGACCCGCAGCCCGACGAGTATGTGCTCTAGTGTTATTCATTCTCTATCTCCAACCCCTTCCCGAGTCACGTTTTCTAGCTCAAAGCTTTGTCCTTGAAGAACCGTAGAGAAACCGCACAATTTCCCATCCCCAACTCCTCTCACCGCCTCCTTCTTCTGCTTTCGGAGCTGGCTGGCACGATGCCTCTGGTCTATTCGGCTCAACTCTTTTCTCACCTTCTTGCACAGGACTTTCAGTTCTACACGACCTGGAGGGAAGATCAGAAGGGGTTTTGTGCCAGGTACCAGAAGATCAACAAAGAGGACCCTTCTCTGCCCACCTCAGAAAGGGCCTTTTGCGCGGGTCCCACGCGGGAGACTGTACCTCATTCTAGGCATGGGGAAAAGTAGTTAATACCCGTTAAGCAGACCTTCTTCCTACCCTGCCTTCTCACCTTTGCCGCCCCTCTGTGCGGATCCTCTACCCCCATGTCGCCCGCTTTTATGAGCTTTGTTCTGCTGCTTCAGCGGGCCTGAGCGGTGAGCTGCCATGACGCACAGCTCACGTGCGCCCAGTCACCACCACTTCCGGCCCGAGCTGAGCGTTTCCGGCCCCCAGTGGAGGAAGGCCTTCCGGGGGCGGGACTCCCGCACCCTGTTTGGAGATCTTTTCCACCAGCCAATGAGTGCCGAGATCCCGGAGTCTCAGCAAAGTAGGGGTGGGAACTTTTCCCACTGCGCAGTCCCGGGTCCTGGGCTTTAAAACGCCAGGTATAGATCCTCCGGGCTCGGGCCCTCGGCCTGGGAGGGATGTTTTGCTCCCCAGCTTTTTTTTTTTTTTCATTTTTGCATCACGTAGGAAGATGTTGAGTGGAAAACTCTCCATTCGTGCTGGAGACCTAAACCCTCCCTCACCTAGATGTGGGTACGCAGCTCCACAGCTTGCAACAGCA